AGCCGCCCGGGCGATCGGTCACGTCTCTGTCACGCACTGTTGGCAATACTGGGCATGCACCGGCTCCTGAATGTACCTGAACCCGCTCCAGTGTTGGTCAAGTCTTGTCTTGAAAGAGCTCACACTCGGTGCCGTCACAACGGTAGATTGTTCCAAGAGTTTACAACCCTCACTCCGAAAAAGTTTGGCCTCACGGTTTTCTGGACTTACGGCTTCTTCAATCTTGAGCTGTGACCCCTTGTGGGGCGAGCGTCCGCCAGCGAGCCGATCTTTTGGTGAAGAAGATAAATGAAAAGGAAAAATAATCAGAGACGTGACCGATCGCCCAAGCGGCTAACAAGCCGATCAGTGGCGAAGAAGATAAAAGTAAAAGATAGCTTCGATGCAGTAGGCGCCATCTTTTCTGTCCTGTTCCCGCCGCTAGAAAGACCGCTGCATGCTATGGCAACAGGGGTGTCCGTTTTCAGGCAATTTAACGCAAACGCATACTGCAAACGTATACCGAAAATGCATAATGTATATGGAATCCAAGCTTTAATGAGGGAATTCATAAAAATCGTGTTTCTAAATAGGTTGTAAGGAGGACTAAAAAATATTCTGCTCGTAGGAGGTGCAAAAGCTTTAATGTAAATAAAAGGGGTAGATAAACCACAAGAGGGTAAACATTAATAGGATATTTATTTGTACATTACCAGTTCACTAGATACAAAAATATCAAGAAATTCTCCCTGTGTGACAGCAGCCACAGACCTGTACCTCTTTATCCTGACAAAAATAAGAAGTGGAATCGAAAACACAATGGTGTACATTTCACAATACAACTCCTTAGAAAAACAAAGGGACTGCCGGCAAATAGGTGTGAAAATGCCTGAACAAATATGCAAACTTTCTCCTAAACAATCATATGTCATATAATAATAAACACGTAATGAAAGTATATTAACACATATATACTAAGAATGACACCTAATATGAATGAAAGTCAATGTAGACCAGATGGGTGAATAATGATAATCAGCATCAGTAAATATCACAGGAGAATGAGTACTGTATTGATGTACGGACCTATTTTTAGACACTTCCAATAATTGATCAGAATATAAGACAATATATAAATAATTACAAGAACGGTTGTGCACAAGTATAAACAACTAACAAATATACAACTGCATTGATTGTCACACGAAACATTTAAAGCGAGACATGTGCAACAATCACATTACCAGTATCTATAATATACCTGTATTACGATTATATAACACAAAAGAAGGAAATGTATTGTAAAATCATATTGCTACATACAGTACACACCAATCAGTTGGTATGACTAGGAATAGGACTAGTAGTAGGAAACAGCATACACCATACAATGCATCCATGGTGTGTGTGTGTTTGTGTGTTTAAGAATAACCTGTAATGTATTTCCCCAAATTACCTGAATTTTTGTACATGTTTAAAGAGTTAGCATGGCACTACAAACGTCTTCTTTACTCACACATACACACAGGTTAAAACAAAACACTATCGTGCCATCTTTGAAACCACGAAATGTTCCCTGAAAGGAGTCGACAATCGTGACTAGCAACATTAAACATACAGTATATGATAAAACATTCCTATAATTCTTGATTTATTGATCAAAATGTAAAGTGCTTACTGGATGTTTATACTGATCATAAAATATAAACAAGAAAACAAATTACATATACAACTGGTGTGTCGACAAAACATCTCCAAGAATACTCAGTAACGTATACATTAAGTTTTGTATATTCCAAAATATATATATATATATATATATATATATTTCCTAAACAGTTAGTTGTTATTAAGGTAGAAAGCGTTTACTCCCACATAATATTCCCCATATAAACTACAGTAGTATTTCAGCAGGTCTCTAACACTACTTTATTGTAACATCTTTTCTTTGACACTGCCAGAACAACAATGCTGCAACCGATCCTTATTGTACAGGGGGATATCTTCCTTAATACACAAAGATAACACCAGAAAATACTCAAGATGTGTTATCGCGGTATCATTTATAGACTAGACTACACAATCAGTTCATATGTCCAGTAAATACCTTTGTAATTATCGTTTTTCTCACCAGTAAAGGTGGACATATTTAACAAAATAATGTACAATACAATAAGAGGCGTAAAAGCACAATATGACTAGTCACTCAGGTAGTCTCACCATCTTTATTCCTAAACATTATATTACTAACATAGAGTACAGGTATACTTGTTCATGTAAATTTTAAGCCTCACACACACACAGTTACAGCGTTAGACCTACCGTTTAAGGCTCTCTCTTTAGTTAATAAGCAAAAATTTGATATTTACTCACCAGAATACAGCACTAAACTGTTAATTTTCATGTCCTACTCTCGTGGTGTTATTCCTGAATTTCCTTGCTGTTTACTGTTACTTCTGCGACATATCACTCCTGGGACCTGCCGTGTCTGCAGAAGACCGAAGAGCTTCCTCCAGTTGGACCAGATCATGTGTCTGGCAGCAGAGCGGAATTTGTGGTTGTAAGAGAGGTGAAGTACAGCATTCCACAGGCTGTTGAGAGTAAACCACGGCGCCACGAACAGCAGTTGTTTTAGAGGCGCCGGGTTGTTGATGGTGTCCTGCCGGCAACACAGAGGGTTAGTTACTGGATAGATACTGTAGATAACTCATATATAACATTTCTAAGGGTTTACAAAAGGTGATTTAAGAGCAGGCCTTTTTGCTTTATATCGAGCCTGAAAAAATCCCTTGCCTGAAAGACAATCCATCAGTCAAGTAAAAAAAGGCCCGACGGAACTGACTAACCTAGGAAGTCGGAATATCTTAATTTGAGGTTAATGGAAGTAAAACCAGCATTGGGAGAATGAAATTATGAGGCAAAACTATAAATATTGTAACAAGACTCTGACAAAAGACAAGAATTTTTTACATATTCCCTCTTCTGACTGGAATACCTTTGTGCTGTAAAGTGAGGCACTAACCTGTTGAGTGAAGTATAAGAACATCATCCAGCCACCAACAGCCAGGAGAGGGAAGCAGGCGAACACAAACACGGCCACGTTAACTAGCACAGTACACGTGATCTCTCGGTCTCTCTCTCTCACTCGCTCTCCGGTACCCCCAATCACCGTCCTGCAATAATAACAGTCAATCAATCACTAATAAAAGTTACTCCAAAACATACAGATTTTCATTAATTGTCTCTACATACATTGTTTCCCAAATGTTCTGCTATCCTCATGTAAATTTTGTTTTGTAATCAATGTGGAAAAGTGGGCATCCGTGTTTTACGAAGACGATTTTGTTGTTTGAGATATTGTAGTGTGTGTGTGTGTGTGTGTGTGTGTGTGTGTGGGCAACTGACCCTCTGAGGCGGCGTATGGTGGCAGCGACGTGGTGTGAGTGTGAGGGCAGGAGACGTCGCATACCCAGCGCCCCCAACACTGACTCTCTGTAAGTCCTGTCTGACGCTCCTCCTTCTCTTCCTACAGACGCGGCCTCCACTACTGACCCACTCGATGTCCTCACCACATCCCTCCCTGTCGGGCAGAACACAGTTAGGAATGACAGTTGACATACTACAAAGACGGAACTATCAGTCATCACAAGGTAACAGTAAAAATGGTCTTAAATGTTAATGACAATGACGTCTGTAATCCATCAATCTTTTGGAGTTTCCTTATTTACTTACAATGATAAAACAGTTTATGCAATGGTATCAAAACGGAAGGGGGAAGCCTCAGCCTGACTGGTGGTGTAGGATCCTTCCCGTGGCTGGAAACATCTTGCAGACGATCATGATGTTGACTCACCTGCAAGTGATGGTGTGTAGTCGTCACCATCAACGTCACCCACACCTGGGTGCTGCATCAAGGACGTCGACATCTTGGGGTCGTAACTCCTGTCCTCATCCTTCGTTTTCTTTTTAAAAGTAAATTTGAGTTTATAGGGAGGCGGAGTGGAAGTGTGGGCGTCCGCCCTACCCCTGGTGATGTGAGGATGGGCGTGGCTGGGCGTGGGCGTGGCTATGAGGTTGACCATGGCGGCCAGGCTGGTGGAACTTGCCTGGCGTGAGAGGGAGCAGTTGTGAGTCAGCTGAAGGGCAGACTTAACCTGACGGACTGAGGGTCCCCGCGTGTACGAGTTGTACTTACGGAGTGTCCTGAAGGAGAAAACTAGGAGGGTGATGATGGGGAACCCCACCACCACCAGCGTCACACTCAGGGGTACAGCGTATTTTAAGTACACCTTGTAATCCGCTGTCGCTATCTTGCTCTCGATGTTTATTATGTGGACGTCCAGCGGCGACGTGTCGTAGTTGATGCAGATGTCGTCTTGTTTCTGTGGTCGGTAGACGAAGTGAAGTGAGGGTACGATGAGGCCACAACACCAGGACACGACAAGGGCGGCGGTGACGCGGCGGGAGGTAACGAGGGTGCGGTAATGAGTCCTGGTGAGCAGTAGGTAGCGGTCCAGGCTCATGAGGGAAAGAGTGTAGAGTGATATGATCATGTTGGAGGTGACGAAGAAGCCACTGATCTGCGTGAGCACGTCTGACACCCCCCACAGGCAATTTGGCACGTGACGGAACAGCTGACCCTCCTTCAGGTTGGAGTAGTATGGGAACCTGTCACGGGGGATCTCTGTGAGCCCCACCCACTGGTTGTAGGCGGCGTGGCCACACACGATGGTGCCTATGAAGAAGTCAGTAGCCGCCAGGGAGAACCTCAGATAATACTTGTTTGGAACTGTGGACAGGCGATGATGACGCTCATGATGACGACGCTCATCCCGGTGATGCAGGTGGACGCCAGTAACATAAACACCAGCACTACCGTCTCCGCCGCCCAGCACCGCCACGGCATACAACCCGACGCCGACATCTCAAACACAGAGTGGTTGGTGGCGCAAACGAAGTCGCTGGAGCACATGGGCCAAGAGTGGTGGAGGACGATCATGTTGGTGATGTTGAGGAGACACTGGTGCTGCTGCTCGGCCACGTGACCCAGCAGCACCACGTGGTAGACACCCTCCTCCTGTTCCAGGTCCCTCGTACCCTCCACCTGCCAGCACCATAGACGGGCACACTCCTTCAAGCCCAGAGACACAGAGCGGCGAAAACCTTCCTGTACCAGCTTTGATGTATCCAGCTGGGGACACTCCCGCCATTCTTCCTCACCACCTATACTGCGCCCTCCACCACCCTCCTCACCACCTGTACCGCGCCCTCCACCACCCTCCTCACCACCTGTACCGCCCTCCACCCTCCTCACCACCTGTACCGCGCCCTCCACCACCTTCCTCACCCACACCACTTATTACTCCACCTTTTTTATGGAGTAGCTTACCTCCCTGAAAGAAACCATCGCCTCCACCAAGCACCCGTCCGCTACTTCTACTCACATTTCCTAGAGCTACGTGAGATAAGTTTACTCTCCTGGTGACGAGTGGCAAAATGTCCTCTTGATATCCTCCACTATCCATTACATCTATAGTCGTTCTGCTCACAGTAAACGGCGAGGGTGTGTGGCTGTCCTGATTGAGGGACATCACGAGGAAACTGAGTGTGGGTCGCCGGGAGGAGAGATGGTGGTAAGAGATAGTGGTGGTAGTGGTGATCTTCAAGTCCTGCGTCTGTGCCTCCGTCACCATCACCATCATTATCTCCATCACCATCACCATCACCATCAGTTTCCTTCCCTCATCCATATACATACCCGTGATATCTCGGGGGTTGACGTGGAACTTATATGCTTGATTTGGTTTCTCTAAGCTTAGCGTGTTATCTCTAAACTTGACACGATTAAGCTGATAATCTTTACCGGCTTGATTTATTAGTGACTAATCGTGAGTGATGGTTGAATTGATGCTGAAATAGAAGGCCATAACCTGCCATTGGTGGTTCTCGTATCCAAGGGCCCATATCAGTCGCTGTGCTGCAGATTGATGGTGCGGTTAACTCCATCATATAAATCCAGTTGAATCCGAGAACGGCCATCCATATGTAAACAAAGGTTCACTACGTCACAGCGTAGAATTTCACTTGTAATTAAATTTAAGACTAATCACTCAAAAACACCTTACAGCTATAAACTAACTGCGTCATTTCCTGGTCTGCGCATGCGTACTCGACTTTCATTGTGGTGTTGATTTGAAGATTTTGAACCCCATCTCTCTGCCCCAGCCAGTTGCCCAGAATCCTGAAACAGAGAAAATATAAGTCAGATAAAATACATATCAGAATTCAAAATAAAATGTAAGAAAAGTCAATACTGTTTCTAAAATATCTAAATCATCATATCCGATCGTAGATGGGTGAGAGAGAGAGAGAAAGAGAGACCTCTCATCACGGACAAATTGGTATCATTAATCACTACAACAATTTGTCGCAGAGATCAATAAATAAAATAACGAAGAGTAACAAAATGATGAATGAACGACGATAATGGCTGGAGGTTTAAGAGAATTTTATCAATAGTTTTAAATCGTTATAAATTGTTGTGGTAGATCCGCCTGACGCAGACAGGAGGAATGTTATTATTTGTTTATGTATATTAAAAAAACAGACATTGACTCGATACTGCATTATGAATATTTTGTATATTTGCATTATCTATACACATGTAGAATCAATAATAATATGATGATTTTGCTGAATAAAACTAAAATAAACTTAGCTGAATATACAAAAAAAAAATTAAGGGAGTCTGTCAAGCGAAATTAACTTATGCTACACACAACGTCTATAAACCTGAGCCGGGGACCACATAGTCTATATATAAGGTGTCAGTGTTTTTCTTAGATGGATTAACTTCTGGTGGGTATTAGGGGTAGACACACACACACACACACACACACACACCTTCGCCTCACAGGGAACAGAATACCTCATTTCTTGCTCAAAAAATGTCAGGAAAAAACAGGAAATTTTGTTGATAAAGATGAGATTTATGTGAACCTTCATTTATAGAGGAAAATATAGGAGGATTAGAGTCTGTTTATTCCTGATCCTTCTTGTTTCTGTGTGTGTGTGTGTGATGATGAAAGGGGCAGCAGAGAGAGAGAGAGAGAGAGCACAGGGCGTGGCAGCCAGTCCACTTAAAATTTCCCACGACCACAAGATTACTCTCAGTAATTTATGAAATAATTTATAGTCGGGATGGAGGGACGTCTGTAGCGCTCCCCCACCCCCGAACACCAGCCACCCTCCCACCTACCACAGTACACCTACACACATACCCCTCCTTCCTGTACACCCTCTCCCTCCTCCAGGCACCATTATTAAGTTGCTGTCATTATTACAGACATATTGACCTGTCTTACTGTAGCCGAGGTGTAAGATTGAAAACAAAATGACGATAAAATTGCCCCAGAGCTCTACGACGAACTAGCCGCTTCCTCTTGATCCACAGATACGGCAAAAACAATTTAACTTACGACCCCTTGGGAATACGAACCCAAAGTAAACAAACAAGAGATTATAGTCACGTCGTGCACTGAATGATGACTGTCTGTGTGTGTGTGTGTGTGTTCTTTATGCCTACAGACAGACAGATAGACAGGTACTTACAACCTTCCCTCCACACACACACACACTATTAACAATGTTTACCTACAAGTATTTTTTCCTGTACGCTCCCCTCTCTTCTCCTTACCCTCGACGAGTTGGTAATGGTGTACACGTTCTTGTTAAATGGTGGTGTACATGAGGCGGTGTACACAGCTCCTCCGAGAGAAGGCAAATGAGTTACTTAACACCCTCCTACTCTAGCTAGTGCTTAGGGTGAGGTGAGGGAAGGGAGAGCAAGAGGGAGGAAGGAAAATATGATAGGCGAAGAAAGAGAAGAAAGGGAAACAGGAGGGAAGGGGGAGCATTCTTTATTCTCATTCTGTTAAGTGTTTGTCTATCTGTCTCTCTCTGTCTCTCTTACTTCAAAGAATGGCACCAACACGGGTTAATATTGTAGATTTTTATATGAAGTTTGTCTGTTGTTGTTAGTTAGGGAACACTCAGAAGGGAATGTCCACGCCGAGAAGCCATGCCCCTGTACTAACATCCTTCCCTTCATCATCAAAATATTGTATCAAGAAGGTGGCGTTTCCCTGTTGCCTACATACATACATACACACACACACCTCTCTCACACACACACACACCCTCTCACGCACACACACACTCTCTCTCACACACACACACTCTCTCACACACACACACACTCTCCCTCACACCTCATCTCCAGCGCTACCACAACAATCATCACCACTACTACTACTACTTACACAACCTTCACCACAGACCATTATAACCACTGCCAAACTCACCACCACCACCTCCCTCACTAACACCACACTCACTACTCTACCACCTCACCACCACTACCACCACCACCTCCCTCACACCACCCTCACTCCTCACTTGCACCAGGCATACCACACTCCTTATGTCCTAAGATAACCAGGAAAGCCACTTCTTGATGCGACAGTGTGTGTGTGTGTGTGTGTGTGTGTGTGTGTGTGTGTGTGTGTGTGTGTGTCAGAGGTACAATAGATCAAGGCGGTATTATACATTTTCCTCGTAAGTAAGAACCCCTCTAATTGGCCACACTTAAGATACGACACAAAGAAGGCATTTCAGAGTCTCATGTGATTATAAAACCCAATTAACTTGACGGATAACTCAAAGATGGAGAAGCGAGAAAAATATGATGATGGAAAGTAATATAAGAGGAGATGAAGAGGAGAAGGGGAAGAAGAAGAAGGAGGAGGAGGCTATGTACGTTCTGGTGACGAAGTGGTGAAGGAGAGAGAGAGAGAGAGAGAGAGAGAGAGAGAGAGAGAGAGAGAGAGAGAGAGAGAGAGAGAGCTTAGGAAGGAATGTGAGATTACAGGCTGGTGAAAATTGAAGATCAAATGTCAGAATTGTAAACGGGGAAATCGACTTAGATTAGATTAGGTTAGAGTAGGTTAGCTCAGAGTAGCGACCCAGATGGTGGAAAAACATAGAGAATAAACAGTAATGATGCCCCAGTTTAATGCACTACAGTAGAATTAAGATGAAATACTAAAGGTGAAAAAGAGGTGGACAACAGTGAGAAGAGTAATGAAATGCTGTTTGTAGTGACCCTAGAGTTACACACACACACACACACACACACAACAGTTACTTCATTACTGGGAAAAGCTGAAAGTATTGTGCTTATAGATTATTGGTTACATCCACACACACTCACACGCACACACGCACGCACGCACACACACACACACAGCACCATAATCCTTCACTAATTATGTACGGATTACATGAGGGGGGGAGAGAAGAGAAGCAGGAAGATGGTTCATACAAAGGAAGGAAGGAAAGTGGGTGAAGGAAAGTTGGAGAGAGAGAGAGAGAGAGAGAGAGAGAGAGAGAGAGAGAGAGAGAGAGAGAGAGAGAGAGAGAGAGAGAGAGAGAGAGAGAGAGAGAGAGAGGGAGAGAGAGAAAGGCTTATGAAAGGCTCACCACCAGCCTCGTGACCACAGCTTGTTATTACCACCTGTAC